AAAACAAAAAACCCTTTCTCGAAAAAAAAAAAAAAAAAAAAAAAAAAAAGAGTAACTCACTGTGATTATAAAACAAAAGATAAATTCGGCTAATCTACAGGGTTATTTCGCCTATCACATCTGGAGATTATTCCTATCGAAAAATCGATTTGAAAACATGGGCCTAGATTATTATTCTTTCATCTCCTGTAATAACACTCCAGGTGATTAATATATTGCTTAAATAACGAAAAAGGAAATCTGATTATTCCCAAGATCAGAAATGAATACTAAACAAAGCCTTACATTATAGAATGACTCTTAACTATACAACTTCAACCTTAACATCCAAACAAAGGGAATTCACAGAGCTGTGGCTCTTGACTGGGTCCACGTACAAGTTATATTTTATCTGCAGTTGTTCAAACATAAATATGAGTGATGCCTTCTTAGATTCACATTGCAAAATCCCACAGACACCATCTTTTCAAATTCAGGTCACATCCCTGCCAATACACAACACCATGAGAGAATCATCCCTCAAGTGGTACCAAGACCATCTGCCTTAGATATCCAATCTCACAACCCTTCCCAGTTCCTCTCTACCCACTCATGACCCAGGCCTTGAAATCCTTGGCTCACAAAGCTAGGGAATTATTTTCCCTTTGAGAAAATGGATGGTGCCCAAAACTGGCTTCTGTTCAGTTTGGTTTTTACCCAAATGCACATACTATTTCCAGAACTTGCTTGCTGGCCCTGTCTGGAAAGCATGTCCCAGGCTGTTCTGGCCCTGTCTTGGTACCAAGTCTGCTCAAAAGAATGGGAAACAACAGCTAAACCCTTGAATGAAAGAACCCCACTGACTGTAACATTCCCACACATGGCTGCTATGAGCATGCTGACATTTTTGGGGTCCCAAAGGAACAGTGTGTGATTTTAGTCCTTAGTCAAAATGAGAAATTACTACTTTCTGAAAGGGAAAAAAAATCCCCACACTTTAGAATAACATATTTTCTCCCAACCATCATTGATTCGAGCCCAGGTATCATTGATGTTTAAAACAGATAAGTCACACAGTCAATGCATGTCATGGCAGTCATTCATACACATCAGGTAGCCACTGAGTTTGTACTTCTATCCCAATTGTCACCCACACTCTCTGGCCTTCAATTTGTTCATCAAAACCAAATGCTACAAAGGACCTTCCATATCTAAATGTGCCAGAACCACGAAAACAATGCCGCCCCTGAACTCTGTGTGCAGGCCACGCAGAGTTAAATCCACAATTAAAGACCATGAAACAAGGGGGGACAATTAAAAAGATATCTAAGGCCCCCTCGTCCATTTTGAGAAAGTAAGGCATGGCCAGACAATTGACCGTAAAACATGAATGTGTCTCACAGCCCTAATAATACAATCCTTACTCCTTATGGCCAATTCTCCTCTAGCAACGAAAAAAAACCCTCCACTCTATTTTTTCCCCAAGCACGGTCTGGAAACACAGAATGACCACAGCACCACTAAGACGACCTTCAATGTTCAGGGGCCTAGGCCCTGCCACCAGCAACTCGGCCACCAGCAAAGAATTCCAGTCAAGTCATAGAAAACACTCCAGCCATCGAATGAGTGAGTTTAAAAAGCCACACCTACCCGGAGCCACTGCTTCTCGGTGAGGGCGTCGCTGTAGTCCACATCCCGGCGCTGGCGAGAACCCCTACCAAATATCTTCTCCTCCTCTTCTTCACAGGTAAGCCTTTCCACTTCCGCGTCATCCTTAATAATCCAGGAGGGCAGCTCATCTTCCTCCATCAGGCGAGGCTTGCGCTTTGGGTTTCTGGCATCCTCCCTCCTCCGGTCCATGTCCATGCGCTGGGGACAGGGATAACAGTGTCACCAGAGGGAAGAGGACTCTGTGGGACAGAACTTAAAATCTTCAGAAGTTGTCTTCACACCACAGGTGTATCCCTTTCTGCCCTTCTTCTTCTAGTTCACTTGCTCTAGTTCGTCCTTAAAGCACACTGTCCACCTGAACGACTTCCACATGTAAGATCTCTTTCTTCCTCTATACCCACCATTTGAATTTACTTTTGCATTAAAGAAAATACCCTCTTTAAGGACTCATCTTCTTAGCCTGTGTGTATGCTTGCAAAAGTCCACCTCAAGTAACAGCGGGAAAATCCAAGAGGAGAATGCATTGTAGAACTGTGAGCCCTGGGCCTCTAAGATGCCTCAGTGAGTGAAGGTGCTTGCAGCCAAGCCTGACAAGACGAGTTCAGTCTCTGAGACATACAGGGTGGAAGGAAAGAATCAATTCCAGCAAGCCGTCCTTTGACCCCCACACATGTGCTATGACAAGCAAAATAGATGCATGGGGAATAAAAATGAAGGGTGAGCTTCCCCCCAAACAAGTAAATTCTTGGGGCATGTACAAAAAAGAAAGTCTACTAAGGATACGAACCTTGAGAAAGAGGGTTTGTGATTTCAATGGAACAGGGAGAAACATTTAGGGAGAGGGTATTAGGGACCTGGGTATCGCCCACTGTTACATGTGGAAGGGACGTACATGTTTATACTGGTCAGCATCAACTTATCAGTACACAGTGGGGGCGGGGGTAGGAAAGGAACATACTCCTCAATTCTTCACTTTTTATACGTTCAGCTCTTAGGAAAATATTACGATATCACAGATGTCACCTCCAAGTCAGTCTCTTCTCGACTGGCCAAGATACATGTGAAATGGCTTCGCTTTAAGGCCTTGGAAGCCTGTTCCTCCACCTCTCACTTTCTCCTTGAAAATTCTGTCTTAAGCCAAGTAAATGATGTGCCCCCCCAAAAAAAATGTAGCAGAAAAATCTGGTATAAAGAACAAAAGCACCACTTTCCCTCTCTTACTCTGGTTACATAGATACAGACCATCCCCACGATGAAGTAAGTCATTAATCGTTCATTATTTACCTGTTCTTCCTTCCTCTGGTTCTACCATACAGAAACAAGGAGTCAGTAAAACAGTTGTTTTTTGTTTGTTTGTTTGTTTTTTCCCTTAAAAGCTGAAACTGATAGAATGTGAAGGAAATATTTGCTACTTGGACCCAAATGTGACTTAAAAATTAAGGGTCAGCCAGGCCTTTGTGGTGCACGCCTTTAATCCCAGCACTCGGGAGGCAGAGGCAGGTGGATCTCTGTGAGTTCGAGGCCAGCCTGGTCTCCAGAACGAGTGCCAGGATAGACTCCAAAGCTATACAGAGAATCCCTGTCTCAAAAATCCAAATAAATAAATAAATAAATAGAAAAATTAAGGGTCAAAGTTCTTTAAACTATGCCTCACCATTTTTTGGAAATCATTCTGTCTGCAGGACGGGGTAAGCTTGGGGCATGGTGGCATCCCATTGGCGGATAAATGTGACTACCCTGTTCTCTCTTGCTATACTTAGCTTGTGATGCTAGACTTAATCCAGCCATCTAATGCCTGACTCAGAAACAGATCTAGCCATGGAAGCTTGGCAACGAGCAAGAGGTGGCTTTCTTTAAGGCAGGATCCAGTCAGAGGTTGTATGAGGCAAACTCCTAATAGCGATCAGGTAACTAGCAAGAACAAAATCTCCCCATGAACTGCCCTGTGACAAAATGTTGCCACTTCAAGTTCTAGCTAGACAATTCCTGATTCCTAGACTAGAGCTTGTAAAATGACCACAGTAGACTGACAACTGGAGAGTAAGTCATCTTTTTTTATTTTACTAAAAAGTCACGTATGTGATTTTTTTAAGGTATTAAATAAGATAAGGTGCAAGTCCTAATGATTGTGTCTCTCTCTAGAGATTCTACTCCCACAATGCCTCTGTAGCATTTTAAGTCAGTATTGGATAAAAAGACTAACTGTTGATTGAATTACTATCTGGATACATTTGCCTTAAGGCCTTATTATAAACTTTAACATTTACAATTATTTTTAGCCTTTGAGGCAAATATGGCCTGTGGTTTGAATATTGGCTCAAGATACATTTCTGAAGCATGTTGTTATATCAAATAAAATGTTTAGGTAAAACTCACAGGTTATCAGTATAATAGGTGAGTTATTTAATGTCTTGGTTTTAGAAGGAGGAAGCAAGACCACTGTTTAAAAGACTGTTATTTTAAAGACACTATTTGTTTATAGCATCTATACATTAAAATAAGTCTTCAATATGAATGTGAGGCACAGAAATAACTCTTAAAAATAAAGAATTTAGATATCAGAGATCCAGAGCCTGGGCCAGCTCACATTGCATTGTTTCTCACTAAACTCTTTAATCATAGTAGCTGACATGGACTCAGATCCTATTTCCTGCCCCCTGGTGGAGGTGCTAATGAACAGCGAAGTGGCAAAAGCTAGAGAGCTAAGTTTTCAAAATTAAACCAAACAAAAACCTGTGTGGCTCCCTTTCCCCAAATAGATGCTAATACTTAAGAAACAGGCATGAGAACTCACAAAGCTAAGGTGTCTACAAAAGAAAATTTGTCCCTTAGCCAGTGTGGCCCGTTACAAGCCTGTTCTTCCTGGGACACGTACTCATTCCCTAGTCAGAGGAAGACCCGGCCTTGGCCACACTTGTCATTTTCATCTGAGGTTTTCAATTTCTACAAAAGTCCAGCCTCAAAGAAGGGAGGAGAGGCACCGTTTCTCCCTGATCTCAGTGTCACTAGGGACTGTCTATCTCTGAGCCAAATCTAATTTGGGAGTATCTGAGGCCAAGGCAGTGCTGGGTCACTGCCAGGGAAGCCTCTGCCTGAGGGTTCCCCAGTCACCTATATCTTAGTAAGTTCCTCTAAGATAGATGGTTATTCCTGATGTGTACCCTAGCCTCTCTATTTAAAAATTTAATCTGTAAATGCGGACAGTGAAAGCAGAACCCCATGCATCTGCCCTGTCTCTCTAAAATGGCTTCACCTGGGCAGGGAAGAAATCCATTTCCTCAGCTAGAAGTTATTGCCATGGCTGCCTGCATTTTTCTGAGAGTTAATGGTCTTTTATTGGGAGTCATTATGTATGGGCACAATCTGTGTTCTCTAGACAAAAGCCATCCAAACAAACAAACAAATAGCAGCCCCCCACCACACAAAAGTGACGCAAGAATCCACTCCATCTCAGCTCTATTCTCCAGCCCTCCTAAGCTAAAAAGGCAGAGATTGCAAACCTATTGGGTCATATTTGGCTTAGTTCTGTTGTCTTTGGCCTGCAATGTTACAGAATAATATTAGTAAAAGTCCTGAATTTAGTTGCACACTTTAATGCTGAGGTTGAGTCTATCAATGTGGATTCCTAGCTTCTCTTCAAAACTTGTGATTTCTGGCTAAATGGGTCTCACATCTCCACCTTATAGACCCGGCACCAGTAATAGAATCTCTAACACACCCTTCCTCATTGTGTCTTACTCATGCAGGGTGCATTATCCAAGACCTCAGGGCTTCCCAACTGGTGCCTCTGATCAGGGTTCTCCAGTGTTCCTACAGCACAGCGACGAGGCATCCGTATTCCATTCCCTCCACAATCAGGCTACATGCCGGAGATGAAGAACAGAATAACTGCAAGTATTGGAGGGAGCCTTACACTTTACCATCTGGATCTGTCCTGCCATCCCGACAAAGCCTGAAACTGCAAAACTCACCACTCATTCAATGATCTATTATGTAACAACTGCATGCCCAGGACTGATCTGGCCATTTAAGACAGAGTGTAAGAGCCTGAAGAAGGCAGGACCCGCCATTCTGCAGCTGCTGAGCAGGCTCCCCCACAGTTGGGGCTTGTTCCTCAATCACTTCGGCATGGAAATCAAATTGATGATATATATCACGGAACTTCACCGTGAAAGTCAATGACAATAGATTCTAAAATACCAAGGTTCCTTAATGGGAAGCAGGTTTTGCTCTCTGAACCACAGCCATATCTTCCTATGCACATACCTCAAAGGCTGTACTCGCTTATGTATATTCCCTGGGACAGTTTTAAGGGCTGTTGCCTTTCACCTGCTCCTATTGGGAAGAAGCTGACTAGGGTACAGTTGCAAGCAGAATGGTCTGAGAACAGGGTGTTGTGCAGTCTGATGCTTGGCTGGGCTCAGAAGTGGGTCCCTGGGAACTGTGGACCACATAGTCTGTCCAGAGGGTGAAGCTGTGACTCAGCTCTGCCCCCTCTCATTTTCCTAAGGAAGCCAGAAATCAAGATTCTTTTCACTCTGGCAACAAATGCAAAATCTTAAGAACTGTTATGTGGGCCAAACACAATATGTCTGCAGGCTAAATCCAGCCAGTTTGCATGCAGACTCTGAATCAAAAGAAACACACAGGCTTCAGCACCAAGGTTCCACCGGCTGCAGGCATCCTGGATACCAGAAAAGAGGGAAAAGAGGAAAGCAGTTGTTTCCCATGATTCCTGCAACATTACCATAAAAAGATCAAACTCTTCTTCCCGGCGAGCAATCATCTGGTTCAGGGTCTCGTCGTCTGGTACTTCATCTTCTTCCTGGGTTAAACACAGAATGGTTGAACAGGCTTTAAGAACAGAGACAAAGAGAGAGAGAGAGAGAGAGAGAGAGTGTGTGTGTAGGGGGGCATTCGGTCCTGTTTCTCTAGACAGAAAGGGAAGGGAAGGAAAGTGCCCTTCAGTTTAGTACCTGCCATTCCTATGTTGCGAGCTTTTCAAACTCTTGCGGGCAGGAAATCTGTCTAGGGAGGGGACATCTGCTCTCTAAGAAACAGCAGCCCTCCTGGGTGTGGATCTTTCTGTAACTTTTAAAGCCAGCTACTTAATGTCTCCCCGCCTCCATGACCTCATCGGCAACATAGGCGTGACATCTACTTCACAGGAGGATGCCAGCCTTAACTGCAGAAATCCACTTAATGTTAATTCTACTAATTCCTGATGAACCTGCAAATGTGGATGTTTTCATATTCAAAGGTTTACCCAAAACAATGGGTTTTGTCACTAAGTACCAGGACAAGGGACAAAAAAAATCACACTTAGGTGACCAAATATAGAACCTTAGAGACATGTTGAATCAATGGTTTTCAGTAGGCGATATTATTGTTGGTGGTTAAAACTACAGTCAGGACACAATTAAAAGCTATCAATACAAAAATACCACAAAACTCTACCCAATTAAAACAATCTAATGAAGTACAAAAAGCAATTACATAAGGCCCAAAAGTTCCTAAATTTTATATTCAGTTAAACAAAGGCACATTATCTGTTAATTTCTCAGAAACCAACAGTTCTCAAGGTTTTAGGAACTAACCCTATGCCGTGGCTTCCATGGTTTTAAAAAATCCCAGCTGCTTAAGCTAGATGATATCAGCTCCCAAGACACCTTGCCCAATGCAGGGACTTAATAAATGAATACAACTCAATAAAGTATATGATTCAAGACAATAATTACTACTGAAAACCCTTCCAATTTAATTCAGCCCCAAGTTGATTAAAGTCAGTCTGTCTAAATATTACATTTCACATGATGAGGAGGCAGGCAGACTAGTTAGAGAGGGGGCTCAGCCCTTACAAGATCATGTCCCTGGCTAAAGCACTAGTGAACAGAGGTCTTCACTTGCCTTCACTGCCCCTAGAACCAGCTGTCTTGCCCCCTACACAACGAGGCCGTAGGTGTCCCCAGGCAAGATGCAGATTCTCCTAGAAATTGCCAAGACACCTGTTCCTAGAGCACAAATTGTCTGGGAAGTTTACAAGAACTCTTGCTGTGTTCTTTATACTCATACTTCGGGCCAGCTGTGATCATGGCACCCTGCGTTGCCCTGGACTGTTGGGACAGAAGCCATTCATTGCAGTCTGCAAAGGTCCCCTGTTGGCTTCACATCAGGGCATGGACCGCCAGAGCCTGGTAACAGTTGCCTGACATAGTCATAGTCAGGAAGGGATGTGGAGTTCCAGTAGGCTGCTAACATGGCAAGGGAACACCCCTGGAGGCCCTACATGATGATCTGCAGGCCTGAGCGAGATCAGCCTCTCCTGGTGGTTTAGAAAGTCTAGAAAACTCCAGGCTTCATCGCCACCATCTCCTCTGGTCAGGTAACATCTTTACAAGGTTTTTCAAAAAGTACACAAGAATGCAGTGGAGACTCCTGGCTGGGAACCAGCTCTACCCACATCATGCTTTGTCCCTGTGTATGTCATTTAACATAGTGGGTTGAATGGTTTTATTGTATTATTGTTTGAAATATATTTAATATTTATCACATTATTTACTCAGTATTTATTTATTATGGGAATCCATGTGCTATGGTGTGTGTGTGTGTGTGAGGACATCAAAAAGACAACTTGTGGGAGTGAGTTGTCTCCTTCCAATATGTGGGTCCTGAGGCCCAAACTCAGTCTGGCAAGCTTGGCGGCAAACACCTTTACCTGCTGAGCCATAATCTCACTAGCCCATGGTGTTTTAGGAAATGACCAAATGAATAAACAAAAACAAGAGGCACCTGACAATCTAACTCCTAAGTCTGTATCAAATCTTCAAATAATTATTTGAGATTTAAAAAGGCTTTCAATGTGTGAGAATGTTTGAGTGTATATGAACAATTTTATTTCTCATCATTTCCTGAAATTCAACAAGTAACTAATCTGAGATATAGATATCTCAGATAAATTAGGAGGTACAATAGCAAACACTCTTCACTTTGCAAAAAGATTCATTTCAGTATTCTTTTACATATCAGTCTCTACTTCATATGTAGGATCATTTCAGAAATGAAGACTGTATAAGAAAGATTTTTAAATCTTTGCCTCACGGGCCAACACCCAAGGCAGTCTCTTCCTAGAAAACTGCTGGCCACACTGGCCAGGGAACCAGGTAAATAGATAAGAGTTAGAAAAAAAATCATCCTCAGTGAAGTAACCCAGACCCCAAAAGACAAACATGTATTTACTTCTACGTGAATGTTAGCTTTTAAGCCTTTGATAGGCATGCCATAATCCACACAACCACAGATGGTAGGTACAGAACAAGGGACTAGTGGGGAGGGATGTGTCTTCCTAGGAAGGAGAAACAAAATTAATTATGGATCAATGGGGGCAGAGACAGGAACAGAGGGATCAGATGGATATGGAAAGAAAAAAGGGGTGAGGGAGGGAATATAGGGAGTGACATCTAAAACTAAGGGCCATTTGGGACATTATATGGAAACTCTAAAGCACATACATATATGAAGGTGATCTAAATGGAATCGCCAAGTAACAGGGGGAGAAGAAGTCCCTATGTGGACATCTCTCGTCACCAAATGAGGAGTCCAGTACTGGGAATGGGTTACATCTAATTGAGTTGTTGGCCAAAGGGGCCCTATGGGAACCTTCAAACACCCAGAATATTTCCAAGACTATCAGGTGCCCTCTCCAAACTGATATTGCTGAAGACAGTATCTACACAACTCAGTGAACATGGAGAAGTCAAGCTGAGGACACCTACCGAGAACCTTCTCCTTTACTGATGAGTGTTCAGGGTCCTGGAAGACACTCTGCATGCTATACTAAAGCAGAAAGGTAAACACAAACCCAGCTACAAACCCTTCCATCCACAATGGTGACATGTATGCAAGATGTCACAAAGTCTGTGGGACTAACTAATCAACATCTGACTGAATTTAAGGCCCACTCCATGAGATGGGACCTATCCCCAACACTGATTGGGTGGTCAAGAACCTGAGACTAACAGGCCAGGGAGCTTAGGGGAAAAGAAAACACTACTGCTCTGCTAAAAAAAAAAAAAAAAAAAAAAAAAAAAAAAAGCAACAAAAGACTCCAAAGACATCCTGCTACACTCATAGACCAGTGTCTTGCTCAGCCATCATCAGAGAAGCTTATTCCTGCTATACAGACAGGAATATAGAGACCCACAGACAATGTGCAGAGAGTGAGAGATCTTGAAACACTGGGTCCTAAGTGGGATGTCTCCATCAATTCCCTTCCCTCAAGGTTCAGGGAACCCTGTAGAAGAGGAGCTTCTGTAGAAAGACTATGAGGCAGAGGGAATGGAGGACACCATGGAAACAAGGCCTTCTAAACATAGCAGGAATGGCACACATAGTGAACTCACAGAGAATACAGCAGCATGAGCAGGGCCTGTACAGGTCTGGGCCTGAGTAGATTCCAGTTCTGAGAGTCGAAGTAGACAAAGACCCACATCTCTAACACAGATAACCTGATAACTACTCACAAGAGAGCAAGAGTCGATGTGAATTTGGGTGGGTGGGCAGCTGGGGACAATCTAGGGGGAACTGGAGGAGGGGGGGGACCATAATTAGAAAACATATAAATTATCTATTTTAATGAAAATAAAACAAAAAAGACCTTTAAAAGAATTTAATATTTAATTTATAGAGGACTTAAAAAACACAAAACCAAACTACATATATGTAATGAGAATAGTATTCTGTATAAGTATGTTAAGTAAACTTAATGCTCTAACTTTTGAGCACAGGTACACAAAAGCAAATGCATTCATCCCTAAATAGCTTCACGATAATAGACAATATATGTTCTTAGATGAACTTGAAGGTCATTTTAGGATGATAATCTGTGTCTCTGTGTGTATCTGTGTATAAAAGGGCCTCACACAAGCAAGAAGGTATTCTAGCACAAGAGCTGCACTTAGCTATAGTTAGCATAAAATGACTGAAACTGGTCATCTAAAAAGAACAAAACGACTCCATAAAAGACATATAATCAAAACATCATTTGCACAACTTTGGCAATTTTTGTAAATAGAGACTTCAGGACTCAGATGATTTATCTCCCCCCTCGGCTCAGTTCTTAAAAGATCCTTTTTGTGAAGGTTAAGGTCAAGCTTTCCAAGCTCATGAGCCAAATATGTTGTGAAGAACCGTCCTATAAGTGACCCTTCCCTGATTAAGAAAAGCAACAGAGTCAGGGGCTTTGGAGTAGGAGAGGAAGAAAAATAAAGAGGTTGGACCTAGACTGCAATCTGAGTTCTACAAAGTAAATTCCTGCAGTTCCACAGGCTACCTGTAGGAGGCAGAACTCACAATACAATAAAACATACTTGGTGCACCCAACCCCCAAGAGGACAGGGAAGTACATCCCATTAGCTAAGCTTAGAATCTTTTGGCAATAGTTCTTAAGACACTCCTATGAATAACTTTTAGAGGTTTTCTGTGTTTGGGGTATAAGATAGCAGCTAATTTAGTCATTTTAATTAACATCAGCCCCAAAAATTCTTTAAGGAACAAAGACGTTATTTTCAATCCCTTCGAGACAAAAGGTCACTGTTAGATTTCAGAAACTCAGGTCTCTGTAATACCTCATTCTCCTCTTCATGCTCCAATATGGCCTGCAGGAATGCTCTCCGCTCGTGGCTGGAGGACTTCTGATCAAACATGCCCGCCTGGATAACCTTCTGGTCCACATTCAGCTTGTACTTTGCAGCTGCGAGAATCTTTTCCTCCACACTGTTGACAGTGCAGAGCCTCAGAACCCGGACTTCATTCTGTTGGCCAATGCGGTGAGCTCGATCTTGGGCCTGCAGATCCTGTTTTTGAGAACAATATGCTATGAGGATCCAGGCATCTGGATTAACCCCACAAAAAGGGCTACCTAAGAGGAAAATGTGGGCAGGTTCCATAACCAGCCTTTACAAAGGCTAGATTTTTGCTTATATTTAAAAAACAACAACATCAACAACAAAAAAATAGACAAAAAAACCCACCACCAACACACACATACACACACTCACACACACACTACTGTCTTTAAATTAACCATGTGAAATAATATCTCAGGATCTGAAACCTAGCTCTAGAAACAGTTTATCTACCTGTAGGTTTGCCATGACAATTAGTCCTTCACTGAAACAAAAACCAGTATAACTGATGCCAGAATTAAGATCTAGATTATGACCTTACAAAAAAATTTTCAAGGAGGAAGACACATAGTCTCTTCATTGCAATGTGTTAATGACACTATTACCTCGATGAACTGTATTTTCATGTATTGTATATACATACATATATACATGTACATCTTATTATACATACATACCTACATACATTCATCAATGCATTATACAGGTAGTGACTGACCAGCTACCCCATTCCTGGACCTAGCCCTATCACAGGGTCAGTAGGTCATCTCACATCCTAGTACATCCTAGTATATCTGGAAATGCAGGTGATTGCTAGTAGGATAATAAAGTGGAGAATTGGGGGAGGAGGGAGTGGGGGGGGAATTGGCACAGATGCCAAGATGTAAATATTGGGTATGGTTCTGCCTCAGGATTCATTTTTGGAAGTTTATCCTGAAGAAACTACCATGGGTATACATGAAAATGGGCTTTTTTTTTTTTTTAAACAATACCTATTCTTTCTGTATTTTTTTCAAATGAGGAAGCAAACAATCAACTGTTCCAGATTACCGAAGACTGTAGTATGCACCAGCAGAGACACAGATTATCGTGAGACTCGGGGACACAGCTGTAGGTGGGGACTAGAAGTTGTGAACGAGCATGCACTTGTGTCCCAAGTGTGCCCATCTACCCGTGCCACTAAAACCGTGGCAGCATCAAACACTAGTATGCCACCAGTGTTCACACAGCCCACTAGAGGCTTTGATTTTAACAGTCTGCATTTTGTTTACACATATCTTAACAGTTTCTTCTACTTTAAACGTCTTAATCGTATCAGATGACAAAGGTTTTAATGAAATCTTTAAGTAAAAACTTTCATGAACTTCTGAAGCCGTCACCTAACTACAGCTACCCAAATCAAAAATGTTTTGGCGTGGCCCCTTTAATCACATGGTCCAGGCGAGGGACCGGGTCTGTCGCCCATCACTTGTTTACACACATGTCATTAGTCTGGGCATGTTTTTAGGACAAAGGTCTGATGAGATCAATCCATAGTCCGTAAGGCTAAGATTTCTTTATTCAGATAAACACCAGCCCAAACGCAAGCCAGAGCGTGCCATGGGCAGCAAGGCAGCCAGGCCCGAGAGAGAATGGCCAGAAAGAAAGGCTATTCTCGTGTGCGTTATCCCTTAAGAATCGTTCCCACGTCACCTTAGACCTCTCCTGACCACGCCCTCATGGGCGTGTCCCGGCACACCTGTCCGGGCTACTAGGAGGCGGGGCTACAGTGTCCCCCTACAAAGGTCTATGCTCTGTTTCTTGCATTCCTAGCACTACACTTTGAACATGGCTAACCCTCAGCTATAAGCTTGTCTTTCCAACCAGCCCAGGTTCCTGCCATCTGTGCAACACAAGGGGGCAGTGGACGAAAGTGTGCCCAGGAGACTTGTTCATGCTGCAGGGACCTTTGAAACTGGGCAACTAATTAGGTAGAAGTTTGTCCTCAGAAGCTATGCGAACAAATTCATGTAAACATCTTGTGCTGGACCACGAGCACAGTGGGGATTAGATAATCAGATTATTGTCTAAAAAGGACAGTGTAAAATAGGTAATTAAAATTCTTTCCTGTGGAGGGCTTGAGCCAGTCACCACTTCCAACGCGTCTTCACTAGTACACTGAAACGACAGCCAATGACAGGCCCTGTGTCATCAACCTTTCCATTGGAACTAAGGTGAGCCAATCATTTCCGTCACAGGGATTCTTGTAGACACCTGGGCTATCTGAGCTGGAAGCAGAAACTGTTCTCTCTAAAGGGACTAGTTAGTCCCTTCACCCAACTGCCAGCTTCATATTTCTGCTCCAAACATGAAAACTAGTCTCCTCTTTCAGCTGGAAGCAGACCAGGCTTGCCCAGAAGGAGTACTCTTACACCAGGCTTGCCCAGAAGAGGTAATATTCTGCCCTCTGTGTAAAAGAGGCCAATAAAACCACAACACTAAAATGCAGGTGGCAGCAAATGACAGGGACAATAGAGAGACAGGGTGGAAAGTCCAAGAGTCCTTGGAACTTATTGAAACAGTTTTGGTGGCTGAGCCAGTGCTTTGGGTTTGTGTGTCTACATCACCTGTCTGTTTGGAAAGTAGCCACAGTTGGCATTTCTAATTTCTAGGATGAAGGTAAGTTCCTAAGTCAAAAATAAGTGCTGTAATTATTGGGTGGGTTAATTATTTCTGAGATTTCTCTATATATCTTTATTTTACTTTTGAGTTTTTATTGTTGTTAGTTCATTTGTTTGGGGCAGTGCTGGAGATTAAATCCCCACCCTCATACATAATATTTTAGGTGAACTATATTTCTATATTTTCAAGCCCTGTTTTTACATCCCCCCACTCCCACCCCACTAGACAGGGTTTCTATCCTGGAATTATCTTTGTAGGCCAGGCTGGCCTCAAACTCAGAGATCCACCTCCCCCTGTCTCCAGAGTACTGGAATTAAAGGCTGGCAGCTTTCTCCCCCTATCCCCTACCCAGCTTGCTTTTACTTTTTGAGACAAAGTATCACTAAATTGTCCAGGCTGGCCCTGAAGTCACCCCATTACCTAAAACTGGATGAATTCCCATCTTCCTGCTTCTGCCTCCCTCACAGCTGACATTACAGACCTGTGCCACAAAGTCCTGTTTATATCTGAGTTTTCAATCTCAAACTTCATGGCCCTCATTTATGTGTGATGATGTGTGGTGGTCTGAATGAAAATGTCCCCCATTGGCTCATAGGGAGTGGCATTATTAGGAGCTGTGTCCTTGTTGGAGGAAATGAGTCACTGGGGGATGGTCTTGACATTTCAGAAGCACAAGCGAGGCCCAGGGTGGCTTGCTCTCCCTGCTGCTTTCAGATCTGGATGTAGAACTCTTAGCTTCCTCTCCAGCACCATGTCTGCTATGTGCGGCCATGCTTCCTGCCATGACGACAGTGGAATGAACCTCTAAACTGTAAGTGAGTCCCAATTAAGTGTTTTCCTTTATATGAATTGCTGTGGTCATGGTGTCTCTTCACATCAAAAGAACACTAAGACATGATACCTGAACTCAAGAGCAGAGCTAAGAAGAGGGCCCCTCTAGAGACTTTATGGTTGATCATTTTGTCATTTAGCCATGGGACTTGCAGTTAAAAATAGAAATCCAAACCCGTGTTTCTCATCAACAGTTTGAAGGGTCTGGTAAGTGCAGGATTTCATTGGTAATTCCAAATTTATGCATTCTTCCTTTACTTCCAGGTAGGTCAGACAGTGAAAGCAAAGAGGTAGGAAGAAAACCACAGATCTGTCACCCTGACAGGAACCCTGCCTGAACTGCAGAATGCAACCAGGGACACTGTAACAAATACATAAAAAGTGTTTCTGAACTTGAAGCAAGCAGAATAGGCTGGCAGCTCCCACCCTTAGTGCTGTTTCAATCTTGTCATCCACAGACAATGCCTGAGATCAAGTTCAATACAGAGGTATCCGGGCTCACTGAATGAGATACCTGGGGGTGGGGCAACAGCCAGTAGGAGGCAGGTCTGTGTTTCTTTAAGACTTGTCTTTGAATTCTAATGTACCCCTGTACTTGCTTCCAGACAGCAGCACTTTCTGGAAGTCCCTACCACTGGATCTCTCCAGTCACCA